GAGGTCCTTTACAAAATCCAGATACGAATATGCAATATGATAGGTATTGATCTGGCATCTAGTCTACAATCTTTATCCTACAGACGTTATGTGGCTTCCCTCTGTCTCTTCTACAAATATTTTCACGGCAACGGTTCCGACGAGCTACTTTCACTGTTTCCCAGACTGCATGAATTTAAACAAGCTAATAGGCTGGCATCTCGGTCCCACCTTTTTACAGTCAAAACGGTTAAATGTAACCGTAAACAGCTTTTTCTCTCGCACTTCCCATCTGTGAAACTCCCTTCCCCTTACTTGCTTCCTCTTGTCTATAATCTTCAAATATTCAAGTGTAATGTCAATCGACATCTGACACCATGAGCTTTTTCTTCGTCCTTCTCTGTATCCTTTCCTCAAACATGCCTCTTTAAACTTGTTCTCAATGTTCTGTAACCCCTTGCGTGCTCGCGGCACTTCCGCCTTGCGTCCGGTTGAACTGACTTAAAAAAAATGACAGAGGTAGAGAAAAACAACAAAAATATCGTAATATGAGTTCTGATAAAAAAATGTCTGAGACACTAGGTTTATAGGACCCCTAAAATTCGCTTGATGCACTAAACGTGATATGGCCCAGTGGATTAAAGCTTTAGTTATTTTTTAATCCAAAAAGTGACTTGACCCAGAGAGTTGTGAGTTAAATACCTGGCCACTGCAGAGTTGGGGAGTTGATTTGCTAAAGGAAATTAATTGAAAATGTGATATCCAAAAAAAGGCACGGCAAGTGGAATTAGAACAATCTACCTAAATAAATAATTTGGTTCTAAATTCTAACGTACATCACCTGAAGATGGCCTGTAAATCGGATGTAAAACATCGTGAATATAGCAATAAAAATGAGGACAACAGTCTGAACGGTGTAAATAGTTACAATACATCATCTCAGAAATATAGACAGATCCTGAAGAAGGCCGAAACGTACAACAGTCAAAACATCGTGAATATAGCAATAAAAATGAGGACAACAGTCTGAACGGTGTAAATAGTTACAATACATCATCTCAGAAATATAGACAGATCCTGAAGAAGGCCGAAACGTACAACAGTCAAAACATCGTGAATATAGCAATAAAAATAAGGACAACAGTCTGAAGGGTTTAAACGGTTACAGTATGGCGAATTAAAGAAAAAGTTTATTATTTCACATCCATGCCGTGTCCCTTCAGAAATTAAAGATCATGGCTCTCCACTATTTTCAGTCCTTTGTAGCTCTTATTAAATCTTGTTTCTTTTTTATCTCTTCTAAAACTTGCTCCGCTATTCATTCACTTATGCATGCCAGGTAAGTTATAGTTTGTTTCTCTCCCCATCTTGCCTTGAGTCTGTCATGTGAGTATCAGATTTTCCAAACTCTCTTTCCTCATTGTCTGCTCTAGAAATTTCAGCTGTCTCTTTCAGGCGTTAAGTAAAAGTGTCCTTTTTGTTTACAGTTTCTCTAAAACTTCGTCGTTGCCCACATATCTGGTTCATAGTATTCTCAGCATCCTTCTGTAGAAACACATTTCAGTTATTTCATGCCTATGCTTCGCCTGTGAGGAGATTTTTCAACATTAGCTACCATATAGGAGGACTTTTATTGTTAAACGTTTCAGTTGTCTTTACGAATATTTTCTGCTTCCTTTTATTTTGCTAGATTTTATAATATAACTAGCAGCATGGCCCGGCGTTGCCCGTGCAAATAGACTGTGGGGGTCTTCAAGACGATTTTGTCTATGTCGGATCTCGTAGGCTCCAGAGTTACAAACAAACAAATTTACCATATAAGAGAATCTAAGTCACTTGAAGACTTTCAACACCAACTAACATGCATTAAATCGAAGAGAATTTTAATGATGACTAGCAGCATGACCCGGCGTTGCCCGTTCTTGATTCAGAAATCGTACGACTCATACAGCAATCGCTATCACTTGACTTAAAATATTTTTGCACTTCCTTGCCTTTAAAGGAGTGTCCTTTGCCGTGCTGATGTTGCTACATGCCTTACTTCTTGCCTATCTCACACTGCGAATTTTTTCGAAGCTCTATACTAAACATTAAATCTGTTACGAAAAAAGAACTAAACAAAATGAACACAAAACGATAAGCTTTAAAAAAAGGAATAGTAACTGGAAAAACCGAATGAAAAAAGAATGTTAACAATAAAATACATTTTCACACCCAACCCAGTTCTGCGGAATCAGAATCAACGTTGCGTTTAAGTAAGCGAATGAGCCAATTGGAGTAAAGTGTCATGCAGATTTAAATTTTCCCCACTTTTGACGAATGCAGCTATCGATTTTTTTTTGCGTGCTAGCATGCTAGTTAACATTCATGTCAGTCAGCTGTTGGCTCTCACGCTGGTCAATAGAATCTTCCTGACGATTTGTGGCAGCCAGCTATATGCTCTCACTCTGGCTAGTAGAAAATGACCGCAAACTACATGAAAACTGCTGTAGAAGCATGAAAAAAATCGATTATTTCCACTATCAATGGGAGTTGCGAAATGCAAAGTCGGTCTTGGCCTTACTGCTAGCTTGGGGCATGTGCATGTAAATTTTGGTGCAAATCCGTCGAAAATTGCGGCCGTGCGTTCGTTACACACACACACACACACACACACACATCCTGCCTTTTATAGATAGAGATTAGCTCAAGGATAGAGAATTTAGTTTGAAGACGGATACCTGTCATTCGTTAGCAATGTAACCACGTTGACTGCCTGAAAAAAGATAATTAATATTCCTTTAAATATGTCACGTTGAAAATACCTGGACATCGCAATAATCCAATTCGTTGACATCTACGTTATTTACAATGATAAAACCGTGTTAATTTGTCGTCTGCAATGGTCGATGAACACTAGGTAATTTTGACTGGCCTTTTTCTTTCTTAGAAGAGACCAAGTGTCTCAAACTAAGACTACACAGTCAAAGTTTTGATTTACAAAACAAGTCGAACTAAAGGATCTTTTGACCTACAAGAAAAGTATACGAATTTTCTTACTTTCCGGCTTATAGAAAAGCGTCGACGGTGTTCCTAACATACATACTTCTGGTTTTCTTCTGAAAGAACGTTGAAGAATTGGTTCTGAAGATCTTCAGGATATCCAAGACCCCATGATATCATTTTAACACCGCTCGTTCATTTGGGGTGAATGAAGGAGGCCTTGAATTATTTTTAAGCAGACTCTTAAATTTCTTCTTCTTCTTCTTCTATGCATCGCGTCCCTTCAGAACGTTGGTGATCATGGCTCTCCACAATTTCCTGTTCTATGTAGCTCTTAATAAATTTTGCCTTTTTGTCATCTCTCCCAAACCCTGCTTCGCCATCAAGACACTCAAGCTTGCTAGCGAGGTTATGCGTCCTTTTCATCTGCCTCTCCTACATTCAATCTATCCTGTGAGTATCAGATTTACCAAGCCCTCTTTCACCATTATACACCCTGGAAATGTCAGCTGTCTCTTCCTTTTGTTAAGTATGTGGGCTTTTTGTTTCCATTGTCTCTAGAACTTCGTCGTTGCTCCCATATTAGGTCCATGGTATTCTCAGTATCCTTCTGTAGAACCACACTTCTATTACTTCCTGTCTGTGATGAGATTGTCCGGCTTTCACTGCCATATAAGAGGATTGATATTACATATTTGTTCAGTACTCTTTTCTTTGCTTCTAAGATGTGAACATTGTTCGAAAACAATTATTCGAAAAACATTTATTCGAGTTTGAATGGCAATTAATCAAAAAGACAATTATACTAAATGATAATTATTCGAAATGCATAGTTCTTCATTGCAATAAAAATGTAAAAATTAAAAGATTAAATACAAAAATGGTAATTATTTGAAATACAAATATCGTTAATAAAAAAATTTAGTAAGAAAAAAAAACCTTATAACCTTAAGTTATATGATTATTGCATACAAAAAGTTAACTACTGAAGTTTACTCATTAAAGGATGTCACTATTGTTTTAAGTTTTCAATTTACGTCTCGGTATGTATTGGTTTTCATGTTATTTTGGTAACCTGTCCTTACTTTTGCAATATGAATTTCTTGCAATTCCGGTTCTCTTTAAGGGCGTCTACTAATTTCCATATTGTGGGAAGTGATTCCAAATATTATTAATTTCAAGCGATGGAAATTGGAAGAGAACGCTTAACCTAGAAGAACAAAGACCTTAACTTCAAGAGAATGTCAAAACTCAGTGTTGCCGAGCAATTGAACTTCTGCAAGTTAACTGTCGGGAAAAAGCTAATTTCAGAAAGCCAATTCTACATAATAATTATTTTAAGTGGGTGGGGATCGGAACAGAACCCGTTGTCCCCGAGGCAAATTTCTGGGCATCCCTTCGATGACAAGAAGTGTTCATGTTCCATCAACCCCACAAGTTGTCGAACCCAATTCATGAAATCAAGTGTTGCAAATTTGGCCTTTCTCACAAGTTACTGTCATCGGATGTGGTTCTTCTCGGCGTTTTCCACAGATTGGCTGGAGGAGCGGGAATGGAGAAAGGAAAGGAAAGCCAAAATCAATTTGCTTTGAAATAACTTTTCATCAGTATGTCGTATGGTAACTGACAACTGTGTGAAGCTGTTAAAATCCCATTATCTTCTCTAGCGAATTTCCTGCATTTCTAAACCTAAGGTTCTTTGTTCTTCCAATGTTGTTGACTGATAAAGTAAAAAAAAAAATCACAGAAAATAAAAGAATTCAAAAAGAATAGTTAAAAGATATTATCATAAAAATAAATAAAATATGGTAAAACAGATTATTCTTTTTTTGCAGGGGGTTGATTTGGATATATCCCAGTGAAAAACAACGAAAGAAAAAAAACGAAGATATTTAGTTTGTAGGTAAGAATATCTTTAAAAAAATACATAGAATGAGATTCATACAAATTAGTGGTTTTTCTTCTAAGTTTTTCTTTTTTTTTAGTTTGACAACCCAGTTCAATGCAAGGGGAATCTCATCGCAGTAAGTTATAAATCCATGTTTCTTTTTTCCTCTTTTATGATTAACTTAAGTCCATTTTGTTCATTTCTTTCTTCCTTTCTTGCTTCTTTTCTTATTCCCTTCATTTTTTTCTGTATCTGTTTTTTTTTTCTTTTTACATTTCTGTTTTTTTTCTCTGCTGTATCCACACATTTCTTTTTCAGCATAATTCTTTTTTTTTTTATCAATCGTTCTTTCTTTCTTATGTGTCTTTCGTTCTGATTGTTTCCCCTCTTTTGATGTATTTGATTCATTCTCTTTCTTCTTCTCTATTTCATTCGGAATTTTCTCTCCTTTTCTCACTTCACTTTTATATATTTCTTCTCCGTTATCCATTTATTCGCCCTTTCTTTCTCTCTATGTTTGTTTTCTCATATTCTTTGCGTTTTTCCTCTTCTCATTGTTTCATTCATTTCTTCTTTATTCTGGAATTTCTGTCGCCCTGGCTTATTTATGTGAGCATTCCTTCATTCCCTCCTTCCCTCCCTCCCTCGCTCCTTCCTTCCTTCCTTCCTTCCTTCCTTCCTTGTTTGCTTTCTTCATTCCTTCCTGGCTTTCTTTGGTTCTTGTTTGCCACCTTCCTTACATTCTTCATCCCTTTCTCCCTTCCTTGCTTTTTTCATCTCTTCTTTCTTTCTTTCTTTCTTTCTTTCATTCTTTCTTTCTTTGCATGCTTCCTTCTTTCTTTACTTTCTTCTTTGCTTTCTTCATTCCTTGTCTTTGTTTCCTTTCTTCATTCTTCCCTTCCTTCATGCATTCTTCGTCCTATCCTTTTTCCTTCCTTGCTTTCTTCATTCTTTCTTTCTTACCATCCTTCCTCGCTTTCTTCATTCTTTCTTTCTTACCAACCTTCTTTGCTTTTTCTTTCTTTCTTTCTTTCTTTCTTTCTTTCTTTCTTTCTTACCATCCTTCCTTGCTTTCTTCATTCCTTCTTTCTTACCATCCATCCATCCTTGCTTTCTTCGTTGCTTCCTTACTTCCTTTCCTGCTTCTTTGTTTCTTTCTCGTTTCTTTGTCCTTTCCTTCCTTCCTTCCTTCCTTGCATGCTTCCTTGTTTCTTTACTTTCTTTTTTGCTTTCTTCATTCCTTCTTTCCTTGCTTCCTTTCTTCATTCTTCCCTTCCTTCATGCATTCTTCGTTCCTATCTTGTTTCCTTCCTTGCTTTCTTCATTCTTTCTTTCTTACCATCCTTCCTTGATTTCTTTGTTGCTTCCTTACTTCATTTTTTGCTTCTTTGTTTCTTTCTTGCTTCTTTGTCCCTTCCTTCCTTCCTTCCTTCCTTCCTTCCTTCCTTCCTTCCTTCCACTTCTTTATTTTTTATTTCTATGATTGTCCCTTCATGCAATTGAATATTCTCCCCTTTTGCCTCTTCCTTCCGTTTATTTATTCCTTTCTTTCTTTCTTTCTTTCTTTCTTTCTTTCTTTCTTTCTTTCTTTCTTTCTTTGTGATATCTGTTTCTCCCTTACTTTCACTTTTTCTTTCACTTGTAACGAATTATTCTCAACTATTTTTCAGTGTATTTTTCCTTTTCATTCTATTGTTTTTACTTTTTCTTCCATTTTTCATTAATATACAGGGTGCGATGAGTAAATTGTCACTATTTTATATTTTAATTTCACGTGTGCGTTGTTTCTTTTTAATTTTGTTGGCTGCACAATATAGTAGGGTCAGTTGTGCACCGTCTGTCAGAAAACGAGCACCATGACGCAATTCATTCTTGCCAGAAATTTAGAAAAGTCAATACTGTACTGCTTGGCAATCGCACCGGAAGTTCCAATAAGAACCTTTCTGAATGTCTGTAATTTGATTCTCGGGCATCCCTTATAAAATGTTTTGCCTTACTTTTTGATCATGCCTCGTAAGTCTTTTTGCCTTACATTTCGAACATGCCTCCTAAATGTCTGTAATATGCTTTCGGGGATACCACGTCGAAATATTTGTGACTTATTTTTCCTTTCATGACATGTAAAATTATTCTCATTAATTTTCGAAAATCTCTTGTAAAAGTCTTTTCAAACATTCCTTTGCCAAAAATCTTCTATTTTACGTTTCCTTCAAGCCACTTAAATGTTTGTTCATTCCTTTTCGAATATACCTCTGAAATGTCAGTAACTGTGTTTCTTGGTGTCTCACGCCGAGATATTTGTTTCTTGCTCTTCGTTTCATGCCTCGTAAATGTTTTTCCTTACTTTTCAAAAATCTCACGTAAAATTAATTTCGGACATTCTTCGCAAAATATTTGTGTCTTGCGTTTTGTTCATGCCACGTATGTGTTTTTCCCTTACATTTGAAACATGCTTAGTAATTCATCATAATTTTTTTTCGGTACCCCTCGCCAAAATGTGACGTAAGTGTTTATACTTTACATTTCAAACATGCCTAGCTAATGTCTGTACTTCGTTTTTCGGTCATCCCTTGTATAATATGCACAATTCTTGAAGCTCCCAATTCCTGCCAAATGGCAAAATCATAAAAAAAAATCACTGACTTCAATATATTGATGATTTTCGATATTTTTTTAATGGAACAATCAGGGGAAAATCGTTCAACAGAGTTGAATATCATCTAATTTGTTTAATTCAGGTGTTTCTGGACAATATCATAATTATATACTTTGACATGTACTTTTTTTTTGCCTGAGGCTGAATCTACTGTGTTATTTTACTTGAAACACGGTTACTGCATAATCTAAAGAAAAATTCTAACAAAAATCTGTTCTATACCCGAATAAAATGTGAAGCAATTTTATTTTTCTCCCTTTTTGGGAGTCAAAAAGTTAACATGCGGAAATATTCAGATTCGAACACTGAGGTAATAACTTTATTTTTTTTTCATTTTTTTTTTCTTTTTTTACAGAAAGGGGAAGGATTGCTATTTGGAAAATATATTGTCAAAAAAGATGAATGCTGGAAGAAGACAAAATGATAAAGAAAACATATGGTCATTACAAAATGTGCAAAGGGCATCTGATTGATTGAGTGATTTGATATTTTTTACAGCTTATCTATCCTTCGTGTGCCAATTAAAAACTAAAGCATATCTTGGATGTTACGAGTGAATATCACATTAAGAATTTTTTGCCAATGATATTTCCATATAAAAGTCCTACTATTTGAATTACGATGTTTCCAGATGCAAGTCTTACTATTTAAATAATGATATTTCCAGATGCAAATCTTACTATTTGAATTACGATGTTTCCAGATGCAAGTCTTACTATTTAAATAATGATGTTTCCAGATACAAGTCTTACTATCTGAATAACGATATTTCCAGATACAAGAATTACTATTTGAATAATGATGTTTCCAGATGCAAGTCTTACTATTTGAATTACGATGTTTCCAGATAGAAGTTTTACTATTTGAATAACGATGTTTCTAGATAAAACACCTACTATTTAACCCATAACTGGGGAGCTGATGGATTCACAGTGTATTTGCGCGTGAGTAAATATAAATAATCCGACTGGAATTCGAAATCGGCTCTCGATTTTCTCATTCCCTACCGCCCTTTATTACACCACCTGAGCATTATAAAGTACAGGCACTCGAGAAAGCCGTTGAGTAACATGTTCCATAAGTTTTCTATATGGTTGAGGTCAGGAGATTGGGGCGGCCATGTAATAATACTCACTTGTTTCTCATCAAAGTATTCCTTCATCAATTTTGATTTGTGACAGGGAGCATTATCCTGCATAAAAAATGAGCTTGATGGGGTCGATTTACACCCTTTTAGCAGAAGGGAGCAGACAAGACTCTAAAATTCTCTTGTACTGCTCGCTCCTGGGGGTCTTTTCAATAGGTTTTAAGAAACCAGTTCCATGAAAAGAAAAGTATCCCCAGAACATTATACTGAACGGATTCTTGACAGTACTTACTGCTAAAATCAAAGAGCTTTCAAAGCTTCTTCTTCGGATTTTAGATCGCTTATCCTTTAAAATTACCTTTTGTTTCATCGGAGAAGAGAACATTTAGTAAAAAAAAACAAAAAACAGGTGAATCACTTTTATCGAACAGCACTGTAACTTTATAGAAAGTGGCGACGTATGACCCACGAGTACATATTTTTAATATTTACATGCAAGTTAAAGCGAAACGCAACCTGGCCATGTGGTAAGCTATGGCGATATTTTCCTGGGATGCTCAGGGTACTAGGTGATATTTTTAGAATGAAAAAATGGCTCACGCGCCTGTTTATTATAAAAGGATTTTACGAAATATTTAGCAAATAAATAAAGTACCGTGGGTAATTCATAAAAGAATCCTTTTCTATATTGTTGGATATACATGGTACGATGGGTAAAATTTTTAATTTCCTTGACTACACAGTATAGTAGGGTCAGTTGGGCACCGTCTGTGAGAAAAAAAAAGCACCATGACGCAATTCGCTCTCCCAGAAATTTAGAAACGGCACGCCGTACTGCTTGGCATTCGTGCCGGCAATACGATCTCTGCAGAGTATTTTGGGTGTCAGTCTGAGGACAGTGCAGAGGATTCGGAAAGAGTTGGATAATATATCCAGTCAACATCATAGTGTTTGGAGTGATCACTAGTGATGGCGATATTATGATTCCATTCGACATCCCACTCAACCCGGGGATCTATATCAAATGCCTTGAGGAGTTAACGCTGCCCTGGGTTAAGAGCGTGACTATGTCTTACAACAGGTCTATGCAACATGCCTAAAAAATTTTCTGCGACCTCATCACCCGTTACATCTAGTCACATAACTTCTCAGACTGCGACCCCCCTTGTTTATTATCTGTGTGGCACAGTTGAGCAAAAGACCAACAAAATTTCTTGTAACAAGAAATATGAACTGAAGGCAAAGGTTATGGCAGCATTCACCAAATTAAACAGGGAGACTATCCAGAATAGATGCAGAAGATTCCGAAGTCGCCTGAAAGCCAATGGCGATTTTATTGAATAAATTTAATATTTAGTGTAATTCTTTTAGTATTTCACGATATTTTTGTGTAATTTTCTTAAATATATCTATTAAAATTAGTTTTTTTTGTACATTTTTGCGTCATTTAGACGACAGCTATTCATCGCACAGTACAACTAAGAGTTCTGATTTAACATCAGACTATTTAAAATTAATTTCTAATATTAAAAATAGTTTTAAAAAGTGTCCATTTTTTGTGTAATTTTGTTAAATATATCTATTAAAATGAGTTTTTTTGTACATTTTTGCGTCATTTAGACGACAGTTATTCATCGCACAGTACAACTAACAGTTCTGATTTAACATCAGACTATTTAAAATTAATTTCTAATATTAAAAATAGTTTTAAAAAGTGTCCATTTTTAGACACTTAATAGCATAAAAGGCTACTTTTACATAGGTATATTTCCAGTAAGCTTAATTCTTCCTGGAGTGCATAAATAACCTGCTATCATCGCTTATAGACGTTGCTTGATGTGGATAGAGCTGACGTGGGGTAATAAAGCTTTTAATGTTTGCTTTTAATTCTATTCATCTCCGCTGAAATTCTGTAAGCCACTCGTAAAGTTAAAACAGTTTCCTCCTATTTAAAACTTCTTTAGTTTAATGTGATGTATTTTTTTACCAAGAAGAGAAGAAACTTTGTATTTCACTCCTGGATTTGATCGCATTTTTAAGATTTAGGATTTAACCGGTTTCTCAGATCAAATTGTATAAAATCTTTTCAAGCAAATGGACTGTGGGGGGGATCTTCAAGACGATTTTGTCTACGTCGGATCTCGTAGGCTCTAGAGTTACAAACAAACAAATTTATCATATAAGAGAATCTAAGTCACTTGAAGACTTTCAACACCAACTAACATGCAAAGCGCACGTAAATCGAAGAGAATTTTAATGATGACTAGCAGCATGGCCCGGCGTTGCCCGTGCTTGATTCAAAAATCGTACGACTCATACAACAATCGCTATCACTTGACTTAAAATATTTTTGCACTTCCTTGCCTTTAAAGGAGTGTCCTTTGTCGTGCTGATGTTGCTACATGCCTTACTTCTTGCCTATCTCACACTGCGAATTTTTTCGAAGCTCTATACTAAATATTAAATCAGTTACGAAAAAAGAACTAAACAAAATGAACACAAAACGATCAGCTTTAAAAAAAGGACTCGTAACTGGAAAAACCGAATGAAAAAAAGAATGTTAACAACAAATACTTTTTCACACCCAGCCCAGTTCTGAGGAATTAGAA